GCTGTAACTGCAATAAGTTAGTTAATTAACCAATTCGCACTACAGCCTGGTTTGCCTCTTACCTGTAATTATTTTTATTTAATGTAATAACTGTACAGTACTCTGTTTATATTAACCATTGTCCTTAATGTAAATATGTAAGAAAAATTGTGTATGTTTCTGTTCTGTGTCCTGTGTACTGTTTGTTTGTATATTTGTCTTTTTGGCTGCTGTTACAACCAAATTTCCCCTTGTGGGACAATTAAAGGATTATTCTATTCTATTCTAGATATTTCATCAAACTTAAATACTAATTTGTCATTTCTCATGCTTTGGTTTAGTCTTGCTGGTAATGTATGTTGTCTTACAATCACCAATGAGCAAGGCTGAGAAGCCATAAGTTTATCATGTCAGTCATACATAGAGAGAAAGTACTCAGCCTCCACTAAGGTCCAGGTTTAGTCCCAGCTTCCTGTTTTTACACGTTTTGTTAATACTGCGGTCCCTCGTTAATTACGGGAGTTATGTTCTAAAAATAACCTGCAAAGTAGTCAGCTTTATTTTTGACAATTATCACAGATGCTTTAAGGCTGTAAAACCTCTCACTACACACTTTTCTCAAACAGGCATGAACATTTTCACACTCAAAGTTTGTTTTTTAGGATTTGATCTATAAATAAGCGCCGGTTTTATCATAAAGCACGCGGCGTTTCCATACATAACCAGAGTCACGCAATCTTTTTGGACCTTGAATCCTGGGGCTTTGGCTTCGTCCTGAATTATAAAGGTGCGAGAGGGCATTCGTTTCCAAAATAAGCCTGTCTCAGCCATACTAAAAACTTGCTCAGGCTTATATCTCCCTTCCTTGATGATCGCTTTAAATTTGTTGTTCACCTATGCCTCTGCTCCAGAAGTATCCGCAGAGGCGGCCTCTCCGTGCAGTCAAACACTTCTAAGTCTAAAGCATTTCAGAAATTTGTCAAACCAGCCCTTGCTGGCATTAAAAGCACTCGTCGATGGCCTGGACTCCGCAGCATCCTGCTCCTCGCTGTCAGCTCAAGTTTCATAAAGCTTTTTAGCTTTGATGCG